TACCTGTTATATTTTTCATGCAGAGCTAAAGCTAGGGACAGACAGTGCCAGACAGAAATGTGTATTGTAATATCGACCATGTTAAGATTTTTGAGAATCGAAGTCTGTCTTCCAATCTTCGCTTGAAGAGAAAAGAAGATTTTCCTTCACCTTCACCCAAAAATATCTTCGTCTGAACTAGTAAGAGAATATACGAAATCGACCAAATTCTAAACACAGATGTCTGTTGTTGTTACCACTAAAGTGCACCACTCTTAGAAAACCCGTAATTTATTCACTATTCTTATGCACTGTCAAACACGCGGGCGTATTGTCAAACAAAAAATAATTATCATTGTCACCCTGATGCAAATGCATCCCCTTTCTTCTATTTTGTGAAAGAATCTGGTCAGAAACGACGGTTCGAAAGCTTTTTCTCGGCGTTCTGTGGTGGCCCGTGGCGGATACCCAAGTTGTATAACTTGAGTCCGTCGGGTCACGTTGTCCAGTTCATTTCTTTGTTACTTTGTTATCACGAATAAAATGACGACAACATCCGAAAATCGTTAAAGGAGGTTGCAAGAAACAAGGACGAATTGTTTAAGTAACGTTTATGTATGTGTTTGGTTGCCCAAAATTAGTTAGTCTGTAATACTACCATGACTTCTAATAACTTCTTTTTTGGTAGGCGTTTCTTTCATACAAAAAACTTGAACCTCCTTGCTAGTACTATTGAAAGGAAAGTCATGTATAAGTATCGAAAATAAATTACTGGTAAACTAGTCAGCATTTTTTCGTGTTTCAGAAACATTAGAAAATGTTACAAACTAATACGTCCTGTTCTCGGATTGAATGATTGTATCAAGAAGGAAAGTACTAGTCTAGGGCGCTACTTCAAGTATTATACAGATCACAGCTACAGCTCATTTTTTGTTGAATGAAAATGAATGTTGTTTACACACCCGACGGATCTTACGCAATAAATTTAGAGGTAAGTACTAAGTAGTGTCCCCCAAAAATGTGAAAAGAGGTGATTTCAGTGGGAGCTGGCTTTTTTTCAAAGGTAAGTAACATTTTTCGGCAGCTCTACTTTTTTAAATTACGGCATGGAGGTAGAAAAAAAGAGACTCTTTTTTGTAGAAAAAAAGAGACTCTCTTTTTTCTACCTCCATGATTACGGTATCTCACATTTTTCTCATGTTGCGAGCCAGCCGCATGCGTGAATTCAGTGTCAAGCTAGTACCTTCGAGTGAAATCTGTTCACCCTGTAAAACTTATAGAATGGTGCTCGCGGCACACACATAGTACACAGTCCAGAACCTGTCGAATATCCACGACAGGAAATAGTTGGTTCATAATCTGACATTGCTGCTTCAGCCTCACGGAATGAAGGACTGACGTTTCCATAGTACATTAAATATTCGTTAATTTTATGCAGAAATATCAGTGTCTTGTAGATTTTTCTCCGTTCTGAAATGTCACAAATCATCTGTCTTGCGATCCTGTCGTCTGCAGCAAGCGCCTGAAAACACCGCTGTATACACTCGACAAATTTCGGG